GACTTTATTTTTCTGGGCTCCAAAATCACTGCAGATGGTGATTGCAGCCATGAAATTAAAAGACTTCCTTGGAAGGAAGGTTATGACCAACCTAGAGAATGTATTAAAAAGCAGAGACATTACTTTGTCAACAAAGGTCCATCTCATCAAGGCTACGGTTTTTCCAGTAGTCATGTATGGATGTAAGAGTTGGACTATAAATAAAGCTGAGCACTGAAGAATTGATGCTTTTGAACTGTGTTGTTGGAGAAGATTCTTGAGAGTCCCTTGGACTGCAAGGAGATCCAACCAGTCCATCCTAAAGGAGATCAGTCCTGGGTGTTCATTGGAAGGACGTGTTGAAGCTGAAACTCCAATACCTTGGCCACCAGATGTGAAGAGCTGACTCACTGGAAAAGACCCTGATGCTGGGAAAGATTGAGGGCAAGAGGTGAAGGGGATGACAGAGGATGAGATGGCTGGATGGCATCACCAACTCAATGGACATGAGTTTGGGTAAACTCCAGGAGTTGGTGATGGACAGGGAAGTCTGGTGTGCTGTGGTTTATGGGGTTGCAAAGAGTCGGACACGACTGAGCGACTGAACTGAACTATATTTAATCCATGGAATTCTCCAGGCCAGAATACTGGAGTGGGTAGCCGTTCCCTTCTCCAGGGGATCTTCCCAACCCAGGGATCGAACCAAGTCTCCTGTATCATAGGCAGATTCTTTACCAATCAAACCACCAGGGAAGCCCCAAGATTCTCGAGAGTTTAAATGTTAATGGAAGAAAGGAAAAATATAAATATTTATCAGCTACCTGAGGATATGAAGATGAGCATCTGAAAAAGAAGCAGCACACATGAGGCCCCCCCTGGAAAGCTCACAGTTCCTCATGGGAGAGGAAAGTCACATGTAGAATACAACAACATGCAATTAGCTCGCAGGTTTGAGGGAACATGGCTTTAAAGACTTCAGAAGGGAGAAGACTTCTGCATGCTAGATGGCTAGAGAATTAATCCCCAGAAGAAGTGACAGGGTAGGTGAACTTTGAGGAGAATGGAGGTTTGGATCTGCAGAGGGGAAAAGGGTGGGCATTTCAGGTAGCAGTACAAGTAACAGACCAGGACAGTGATGAGCAAGGCCTCTCTGCTAGTCAGCCAGAGAGGGTGAGACGTGAACTAGGTGTATCTGACTTAAGAGCCCCTTTATTAACTAATATACTTATTCTTATCAGAATTCCTCATTCCTTGAACCTCTAAATTCCTAACCTGGAAAATTCTGATTATTCTCTTATGTTAAACTTATACATAGAGATTAAATAAAATCAAGATGTACATAAGATTTAAGTTCTAAAATGTATTAAACAACTTATGTTTATATCACTCATGTAAAATGATCAGATTCCTATGTGTCATTAAAGGAGGAATTTTAAAATTTAAATTAACTTAGAAATAAAAGAGGCAAATAAAAAGGTTTTCTCTGATGAAAATAATTTTCCTAAACTGTGAAATTAACCCCAAAATTATCAGGAAAAAAACAAGAGACCAATACAAACTTTCACACTAAATATGGCTTTGATTTCTTTAAAAGACATAATTTAGAGCAGTTTAAATGACCAACTATCTCATATATTGATAAGCCCAAAATGTTATGTGTATGGCCATTGAGCTCACAAAGGTTTCAGTACAAAAAATGGTAAGTACCAGATATCTAGTTTTAAAAGTATACTTGCTTACAAATACAAATGTAATTTATTTACAGTAATATGACAGAAGAGGGTTGAGAAATTCTGCTGTTTTCCACTTTTCTTCAAAATGAACACAACTATTCCTGCTGATTCATTGTTTATTGAATTTTATAAGCTTTTTGCTTTTCATGTGGTAAGCAATCTTTATGACCAAGATAATAAACCATATTGATTCTAGGTAAGCACGGGATTATACAACTGTGAGAGTTTGAAGATAACAGAGTTCATACATCTGAATCCCACTGTCTGACAAAGTGCAGAGCATATAGTACATACTCATCAAATGACAACTGAATAATTTCAGATGAGGAAGGAATTCTAGTGACCATGTATCCCCATGTTTCTCAATCCTCAGTATGTATCAAAACTATACAGATGTCTGGGTCTCCCCCTTCCTAGCATCCTATTACAGATTCCAATTTAGTTGTTAGAGAGTTAGACCCAGAATTTTTTTTTTAAAGCTTCTCATATAATTCAAATACACAGTCAAGGCTGAGAACCACCGGATTATCACCAAACGAGTCTGATCCCCTCATTTTATAAAAGGGGAAATTGAAACTTAGAGAGATCAGGGGACTTACTTAAGATATCCAGATTGGTTAACAGTGATTGAAACCTGAGCTTTTTGATCTAAAAAACCTTATATGCTTATCAACTAGAATAGTCTACATAGAGACTACAGTGATTTTAAAAAGATAATTCAGATTTGATAGTATATGCTATTCTTTCTAATGCAGAAGACTGTGGACAGTTGTAGAAAATGGAAGTTGATAGAGTTTAGTGAGCAGAAGAGAGTTCTGATGAGAGAGGAAGGGATCAGTTGAAATAGAATGAGAGAAGTGGGTGGGGTCAGTTAAGTTGGTGCTACACAGTCCTGTAATACTTAGCACACCTTCCCTCTCACAAATGGGATCCTGAATCTGGAAAACCTCAGCCTTCACAGTTTACTGCAGCATTCAGAAGGTGGGGTAAATCAGCAGGGGATGCTGCTAGCAGCTAGATACTCTGAATACCCTGAAATCATAAAATGCTACTTCATGAAATTATTATAGTTTCTGTGGATGAACCATGGTTTGCTGTCTAGAAGATATCCTTGATTCTTTAAATAAGAATCCAAATTATCATTAGGTTTAATAGACAGTATTCTAAAAAAAAAAAAAAAAAATGTGTGTGGCAAAAGGCTTACTTTGATTTTGAACTGGCCTGCAAATCACTGCACACAGATGGAAGCAAAGCCTCACACAGATATCCCTGTTCTGATGACATAATATGAGCCTTACCTAGTTGATCATGGGGAGTCCCTCTGAACAGAATTCTGTATGTGGTAAGGAACAACGCTCCTTCTGCTGGCAGGAGCTGAGGGCCTCCAAGAAGGCCTCCAGCGGCTTCTTCTCTCCCATCAGGATCCAGTAGGACTCGAAGGCCTTCACAAACAATTTCTTCTCCTGGCAGTAGAGCAGGTCTAAGAATCTTGGGCTAACAACAGACAAAGTTATTTTAGACACAACTCTAGAGAAATTTCCAACCCTTAGACCAAGGTTACCTTGTCACTTACAGATCTAAAAATGTGAACCAGACTTCCCACTTGGCCAAAATGAGTGAACAGATTTGGGAAGAGTCAGAAATGATGTTTCTGCATCCAAATGTAAAAAGACTCTCTGCAGCATTACTTACTCACATTAAAATCACTGGAAATTACTAAACTATTTGAGATACCTATTCAACGGAACATTTTGCAACCGTCAAAAAGAATGGCATAGATCTAGATACATAAACATAGAAAGATGCCAGAATACATTGTTAAGTAGAAAGAGTTACCAACCAATATGTACATTTATGATTTCCTTTTAGTATATGAACCAAACTGTTAAAGCTGGTACTATCATAGATAAGGGTAGAGGTCAGGGTGAGGAGAATCATGGGAGACTTTCATTTTGTACAATGCGTGTTCCTTTAATGCTTCAATTTTATACAAAAGCATTGTTAGTTTGCAAACTGAAAAAACACGTATTTTAAAAAATGGACATGACTTTAAAGAGCCCTTCTTAGCCTTTAATAAAAGATTAAGACCAAAAAAATGGCCAAGTTATGACCATTTACATATCTTGGGAAATAAGGAACCACATGATATACTTTCTTGAAGAGTTTAGTGCTACAAAAAAAAAAAAACCCATCTCTCCTGAAGCTCTAATACGCTTATTTTCTTTTACTGAGCAATAAAAACTATACAATCTGGACAATTCTTTTTGTTGGCTCGAGGAAGCTCAGAGCTAAAATGTAAAGCCAAAGTATAATGATCATTGTGTCTCAGATTTCTGATAGAATCATCTTTCCTTTCCATCTGGCTTCTGATTTCTCCTTTGAATTTATTTTTAATAGTTCTGTTACATAGGTAAGAGGGTCCTAAACCCTAGTTCCACAGACTGGTGCCAGACTAACTGCAAAATAATCACCTGGGATGCTTATTAAAGTACAAATTCCCAGGCCAAGTCCCAGGGTACTCCAATTCAGGAGGCTGGGCTGAGATTTAGGCCTCTCAGTTTTTAATAGACTTCCCAGATGTTTGTGATGTATGCTTGTAATGCATACAGATTTAGGAACCTGGTGATTTTATGGTAATTGCCTTAAGTCATTTTTTGGGGGAAGGAGGCAGAACATAAAACCTTGGCTTGGTCTTGGAAGTTAGAATGTTCACAATTTATGCCCTGCCTATAAAAGTAGACTCAACAAGAGATTATTATTGCTCCTTTGTTGATCTCCTATTCTACTTCACCATCCTTTTTATGAGGATCTACATGTAAACTCCTCTCAAAGTTTAATGTATCATTAAAACTAGAGCTGGTCTCTGTAGAATGTTAGAAGGTACTTTCTGTGGCACAACAATCTACTGTTGCTGTTTTTAGGAGATTTTACTTACTCCCTCAAAGCATGCAGTCCGGAATAATTACCTTCTGAATAGGTGGAAGTCTTCTACTCTCTCGATGCACTGCTTCTAGGGTTTCAATGTGCATAGCTACAATTCCTGGGATGAGTCAGAGAATTAAAAATAAAAGAGTACCAAACAAGTAGAATTAAAACAAATTCTTGATATTTTAGAATTGAAAACTAATCTGAGTTTGGTGGTTCTTCAAAAAGCTAAACACAGAGTTATCATACGACCCAGCAATTCTACTCCTAGGCATATACCCCAAAGACTGAAAATAAAACTCAGACACTTGTGTATGAATATTCATAGTAGTACTATTTACAAGAGCCAGAAGGTCACAACAATTTAAGTGTCCATCAACAGATGAGTGGATAAAGAAAATATGGTATATCCATATAATAGAGTATTATTCAGTCATAAAAGGAGTGAAGTCACAATACCTGCTACAAACGTGGATAAACCTTGAAAACATTATGCTAAAGGAAATAAGTCAGACACAAAAAGACAACTATTATAGGATTTTACTTATATGCATTATCTAGAATAGGCAAACTCATAGAGATAAAAGGAATTAAGAGGCAACCAAGGGCCAGAGTGGAGAATGGAAAGCTACTGCTTAATGCGTACAGAGTGTCTGTATGGGGTGATGAAAAAGCTTTGGTAATAGACAATTGGTAGCAATTGTACAGCATTGTGAATATAATTTATGTCACTGAATTTTACACTTAAGAAAGTTTAAAATGGCAAATTTTATGACATATTTTATACAATTTAAAACTATTTGGAAAACAAATAGCATGACTAAGCTACCTGGAAGCCAAGTGCTATGCTGGAAAATGACCCATAAGAATAATCCTTATTCAATTATTTCTAACATTCTGGTTCTCTGATGTCTGCAAAGTGATTACCTGGTATCATGCAATGCAGGCTCTTGATATGATCCTGAGTAACTCCACTCTCCGTACAAACTTTGTCAATAAATCGAGTAATGAAACGCACAACAGAATTGGCAATGTCATTATTCTCTGAATCTTCAAACCCACTTTCTGTATCATAGCTCTCAGCTACACTTCCTGCAATACTAAGAAAGTCAAGGGAAGAAATCATGCTCAGTACTCAAATTTAACAAATGACTAGTATATCACGGTGACTTTCCACAGCAGTTTAAACTTGCTCAAAGGGATGTGTACTCAAGTAGAACCCTCACTTAACTCCATGACTCCTCTGTAAGTGATTGTAGTGAAACACGATGTTTCGCGTACACTTGGGAAGCTACTGTCAGGCATTATCCTTTGGACCCAACTTAGGTGCCTTAGTCACTCACTATGTAAATCAGATTGTAGAAAATGTCATGAAAGAAAAAAAGGTATAAGAAAATGACGGATGTGCTACTTAAGACAGGAAGTCAGCAAGGTCTCTCTGGGTAGGTGACATCAGAGCAGAAAACTAAATGAAGGGATTCTTGTAACTATTTCAGGAAGAGTATCCCAGATTGTGGGAATAACAAGTACAGAGGCCCTGAGGCAGTAATCATGCTTTGAATGTTGAACAGGGAGACCAGTTTGGTTGATAGAAGAGTGTAGGAAATAAAGTCTGAGCAGCAGCCAGGGCCCAGACCCTGTTAGGCCTTACGGTCTATGGGTTTCATTTTCAGTGGTACCGGAAGTATTCAGGGTTGAGATAGTGTTAGTCGCTCAGTCGTGTCCGACTCTGTGACCCCATAAACTGAAGCCTGCCAAACTCCTCTGTCCATGGGATTTCCCAAGCAAGGATACTGAGTGGGAAGCCATTCCCTTCTCCAGGGGATTTTTGTGACCCAGGGATCAAACCTGGGTCTCCTGCACTGTAGGCAGTTTCTTTACCATCTGAGCCACTAGGGAAAGTGTGAGAACACAGAATGGTTGAGAACGTGATTATAGGCAAATGCAATGGGTAAGATGAAGAAAAGGAGGACCAAGAAACAGATAACCACTTTAATAAGAAAGAGTCCATTAGTACTTTTCCACAGTGCTTTCTGTAAGTTGCTGTGGCAGAAAGTAACTGAAAAGGCTAGATCAGTAATGGGTGAGACGTTTAAAAAGTCAGAGGTCATAAAAGAGAAGAGGGTATGGGAGGTAATTAAGAATAGTTGGATGTAGTCAAAGTCTTTTAATAGAGAAAAGCTGAGCAAGTCTGAAGGTGAAAAAAATGGTTAATTTTTGAAATATGTATAGCACTATTTACCCAAAATACTTCGTATTCTGTGCTAAACCAAGAAGAATAGGAGTCTGTGTGTGTCCACATTTCAGTACCTGTTAGTGACAATGCTGTTGCTCCCACTCTCCCAGTCTCCTGGGGCTGACGCTCTTAGGAGCTTGTTTTTACTTGAATCCAGCGGAACCAGCAGATTGACCATGAGGTTTGCAAAGTGAATGGCTTGACTAAAGACAGTGCTTTCCTCACGCTGCACCAGCTCCTGCTGAGTTGATTTGCTCAGAGTAGGCCAAAGGCGTAGCTGCTCAGCTGCCAGGTCCATTGCTGTCTTCTCCTGATATTGGTCATCAGGAAGTTTATCCTAAAAACCAAACCAAACCAAACCAAAACAAAACAAAATAAAAATCTATCACTTCACATGAGCTTCAAAAAACATGGAAGATGTTTTAATAATTCATCTATTAAATACCTATGTCAGTAAAAGTGGAAATATATAAAAAAAAAATATAACAAGAACACGAAACTTAGCCTTCCTGTTTTCTGAGCTCCAACAGACCTTGAATGGAACCATATGACCAATCCAAGGAGACAGCAGCAAAGCACTGAGATACACACTTCTCATTGCTAACATTTCACTGCATTTACTGATACTTATCCCTGGCTCTGTCACCTTCAAGTCACCAGTTACAACAAATTATTGACCTGAAATACCTGTAAATCCTCTAGTCAAACGTGCCAGTAACATTTTCTAATACTCTATGTTTCTTTTCTTCTGCTCTTTGGTTGAAAAAGACAGAATGAACAAAGTCACAAAAAAGTAGAGCTAGATTTCCGTGTAAATGTGGGAGTCAAACGTTATCATTAAATGGGTATACAGGTGTCCATGGGATTTTTAAGAGGGATTTTCTATAGGCTGAAGAGTTAAACAATAGCAGGAACCCACACCTGCATAGTACTTTACAGCTTGTGAACAGCTGGCATATCTATAGTCTTACTCATATCTGACCTGGGGCTCCGAGACACCCTTTTACAGAATGGAGGACACTGGAGCAGTGACATGTATTTGCTTTATGAATGTTTTGGAGATATACCAATGTTGTGCTAAGCCACTCAGTCACGTCAGACTCTCTGCGATCCCGTGAGCTGTAGCCCAGCAGGCTCCTCTGTCCATGGGATTCTTCAGGTAAGAATACTGGAGTGGGTTGCCATTTCCTTCTCCGGGGGATCTTCCTGACCCAGGGATTGAACCCGTGTCTCTTACACCCCCTGCACTGGCAGGCAGGTTCTTTATCTCTAGCGCCACCTGGGTCCCCTCATACCCATGTTAGCACTATATTTTCTTTAAAAATTATCAAAAGCACCTCACCAGGCCAATCATCTCTAGAACATAACCTCAAGCTAATACTCTTTGGATGTAGCCCAAGTTACCCCTTTACCCAAGTGCATCTGGTGTTTTGAAAGAAAAATCTGAGTTTTAAATTAAGAAAATAATGAAAACTAATTGTATAGTAATAATTTGGAATATCTGACAGATGTCAGATAGTGTTATTAAAAGTTTGTTCTTATCATATTCATGAGTAGACCAATAATATGGTTAAAATTACTTGAGGCATAGAAATGTATGAATATCAGGCAGTTTCAGTTAGCTATCTAGGTTCGTTTATCTCACATAGTATAAGGAAAATTTAAAATGGAGGAAAGGATCAGCAGCGATGTATTAGCCTAGCATGTGGAAAAATTACTCAATAAAAAAAGCTAAAAAAAAAAACTCCAACAAATTACTCCAAAAAATTGCTCTTAAAGTGAATCAACACTAATAATCAGCTCTTAGTGCTGCTCTAAGTTCAATTAATAAGGATAGTAATTTCTAACATTTATGATTTAGTACATGCCAGGAACTCTTCAATGCCCTACACTTGTATTAGGCATTAAAAGCTTATAATAATCATGTCTGCTCATTTTACTAATGAAGAAATAAGACACAGAAAACTAAAGTGAATTGCCTAAGATCAGATAGCTAGTGTATGACATTTCAAAATTTCAAGTAACTTTAATTTGGGCTTCCCAGGCAGCACAGTGGTAAAGAACCCGCCTGCCAATGCAGGCGGAGAAGGCAATGGCACCCCACTCCAGTACTCTTGCCTGGGAAATTCCATGGACGGAGGAGCCTGGTGGGCTACAGTCCATGGGGTCGCTAAGAGTCGGACACAACTGAGCGACTTCACTTTCACTTTTCACTGTCATGCACTGGAGAAGGAAATGGCAGCCCACTCCAGAGTTGCTGCCTGGAGAATCCCAGGGATGGGGGAGTCTGGTGGGCTGCCATCTATGGGGTTGCACAGAGTCGGACACGACTGATGCGACTTAGCAGCAGCAGCAGCAGCCAATGCAGGAGACATAAGAGATGCAGGTTTGACCCCTGGGTTGGGAAGATCCCTGGAGGAGGGCATGGCAACCCACTCCAGTATTCTTGCCTGGAAAATCCCCTGGACAGAGGAGGCTGGTGGGCTATAGTCCATAGGGTGGCAGAGAGTCGGACACGACTGAAGTGACACAGCACGCAACTTTAATTTGACATTTCTTCAAGAAGTTAATTGCACAGACATCTGCCTAGGTATTTTAGGTTGATTCATTTCAACTTCCTATAATTGTTTCCAGGGAATTCTTATTAAAATATAATTAAACAGTTCTAGTGCTACAGAACTGTTCAGTTCAGTTCAGTCGCCCAGTCGTGTCTGACTCTTTGCGACCCCATGAATCGCAGCACACCAGGCCTCTCTGTCCATCATCAGCTCCCGGAGTTTACTCAAAATCATGCCCATCGAATTGGTAATGCCATCCAGCCATCTCATCCTCTTTCGCCCCCTTCTCCTCCTGCTCCCAATCCCTCCCAGCATCACGGTCTTTTCCAACAATCACAGCACGCCAGGCCTCCCTGTCCATCACAAACTCCCAGAGTTTACTCAAACTCATGCCCATCGAGTCGGTGATGCCATCCAGCCATCTCATCCTCTGTCGTTCCCTTCTCCTCCTGCTCCCAATCCCTCCCAGCATCACGGTCTTTTCCAACAAGTAAACCTTTCACATGAGGTGGCCAAAGTATTGGAGTTTCAGCTTCAGCATCAGTCCTTCCAATGAATACCCAGGACTGATCTCCTTTAGGATGGACTGGTTNCGGATATTGTCAATTTGATCTCTGGTTCTTCTGCCTTTTCTAAAACCAGCTTGAACATCTGGAAGTTCTCAGTTCACGTATTGCTGAAGCCTGGCTTGGAGAATTTTGAGCATTACTAGCGTGTGAGATGAGTAGTAGGAAGTTATCATGGGGGAAAAAATATCAGGAATCAATAGAAGAAAGATGCTCACCAGGGGGCTTCCTAAAGTAAACCCCAAATACACTGGTAGGAAGTGGCTAGATAATACCTGACTGAACTTCCCTTGAAGCCAGGACCCTAGCCCCACACAGATACATGTTTTTATCTTACCTTTTGCTTCAGAGGCAGGGCATGATTGTCCTCCTTGGCCGAGAGATACAGGGAGCGAACCTGTTCCTGCACTGCATTATAAAAGGTTGTCTCCCAAAACTGCTGATTCGTCCAAATGGGGTGGTCCTGTACACAGGTGTAAGCAAACTGGCTGACTCCAGGGGCCAGTTTCTGTGAGAACACATAATATATATTACCAAGGAGCTGACAGGGTCATGACAGTTCAGAAGGTTACAGAGGCCACAGATAATCATGAATGTGATCAAAGGATTTATCTAAACATATCTTATGGCAAAACAAGCTTAGCAATCAGCAACGTACACATTTTTAACTGGCAACTTTGGGCTTGCTATCAAATCCTTTAAAGGATCTTATCTCTTAAAAGGGACATTTTAAAATTAAAAGTATTATACGAATTAGAAAATATATGAAAAGTACCTAAACACTGTACTGTGCATATAGCAGGAAATGTAGAGTTAGGCAGTTATTACAATTAGGACATATAATAAAATCCATCACAGCCTGAATCTAAAATTCCAGATAGTTCAAAATTATTTCTACTTGGTATCAGAGTACATTTTGGTGGGGTTAGGAGGACACTAACTGAAATGCAAGTGAGCCTACAGCTTGGCCTTACACACAGAATGAGGGCGTATCATGAATTTCCCTCCTGCTTACTCTAGCCCTTTACCTCCTTACCAAGGCTGCTGCCTGGCTCACACACTCGCCAGCAGACTGTCTAGGGCTTCCAGGGTATTTTCTGGTAACCAAGTCTGGGTGTGGGAAGGTCATCTAAAACCAAACCTTCCTTTCCAGGACGTCCTGCTGGGCTTCTAAGTAAGAGTAAACCTTACTCTGTGATTAACAACTGAGGGAAAGAAAACTAACTCTGCAGTCACTTGAGGCACTTCATAAATATACATGTCATTTAATACTAAAAATCTTGTAAGATGCATATTGTTATCACCAAATTAAAGAAGAGGACACAGAGGTTCAAAAAGGCTTAACTGAGTGATTGCCCAAGGCCATACAGCAATTACATAAGCGGTGGAACTAGGTTTCAAGCCCAAAGTTTGTTTCCAAATCCTTTTTACTTTCCAACCCTTTTTACTAGAGCAAATTATCTTGGAAAAAAAAAAAAAACTGAAAGCAAATCATATATAAATTGAATAACAGTTAGTACAACTGTCTGTTATTTTAATCTTTCATTTTAGGATTTTATTTCCCAGAGTAATATTCTGCCCTGAAACCTCTGATATGATCTGACTCACCTTTCCACAGCTGTTGCTTTCATTTCTGAAAGTTAAGAATGTCTCAAAGAAATTTAAATCCATTATTTTTCAGCAAATACTTGATAATGGTCTCATTAGACAACTTTTCAGTCCATTTTATTCTTTATAATTGAGTTAATTTTTTTTCTATCAGTAAAACTAAAGTTTCTGATAATGTAAGTTTTCTTTTGAAGCAATTAATAAGTGAATTCTTTTCTGCTGAAATGTTGGACACTGAAGATCACTATTAAAGTTGCATACATAACAGTTATGTAGCAAAGAGTTCGTCCTTTTCTTAGGGATGCATAACAAGTGTATAAGGTACCTGGTAAAAAATTATATGCTCAATAGACATAAACTTCCTTCTTGGTCTAGAGCAGACTAAATCTTCAACTGGAATAGATACCATGCATACCATGAAATGTAGTGTAGTACTTAAATAATAGGGAAGTGGGGTGGCTGTGATTTTTGCCTATTAGGGTCTGTGTAATTCTGCATCTCTTGTGTAAGTCCCTTTCAGGGCAGGCCTATGTACTGTTGTTGGGTTAATCATCCATTAACTCTTAGGCAGCCATAAGCTAGAACTGACCACGAAGCAAAGGTCAGGAAATCCTTAGGGGGAAGTTGCATGACGTTTGCTTTTAAAACGCAGCTACTCTCTACCTATGGGAAATCGGGGACAGACCATGTGTGGTTCTGTGAATATGTAAACAGAAGAGACAGACACTGAGTGATACGCTCCTTCTGCACTCTGCTTGAGGATACTTGGGATGTAGGTTGCACTTCTTTTTTTTTTTTTGCCCCAAACACTCTAAGGAATAACAGTGACCTCAGTGGCAGTACACAGACCTATTATGAATGAGATTTTAAAGGCATAAAATTTAAACAAGGTACAAGCATGCCTTTCCCATGAGTATAGTCAGGCAGCACCATTTCTTACAAACACAATATAACAACAGATTCTAACATTCTGGAGTTCTGAAATTATATTAACATAGATGAGCTCAGAAAAATTGAGCTTTTAATAAATCCTTATCAGTTTCTTACATAAAATTCTTTTAGGATCATCAATACAATAAAAAAGTTATTGTAATAAATCTCTTATTACAACTTGAAAGAGCTCTATAGGAATTGGAGAGTATAGTGAAGTCCTGCCTTCTTTTATCATTTTCTTCTCTGATGCTGCACATTCACTTTACTTGGCACATATCAGTTACTATTTTCCTATTTATTAAAAAACTAAAAGTGACTACATAAAAACTTCTCTGTTTTCAACAAAAGTGGACTGCATATGTTCCAAGGCAGAAAAATGGTGTGAAACAGTAGCCCAAAGTGTCAGAACCCACAGCTTGTTTACTGGATGAGAATCACAGTAAGGTGAAGGGATTATAGGATATGCACTTTTTGGTAGCAAGTCAGTCACAAATGGTGCTGGCATCTGATAAATGTATAATAAATTATTAATTCCCAAATACTTAAAACATAATTTTTCTAAACAGGAAATCTGCTTCTTTTCTTGGTGGTTTCCTGCCATGCCTTCTCAAGCGAAAGCAAGGAGCACTTTGATGTCTGAATGGGCAAGACCATTGCACTGATGGGCAGGTATGTTCTGAGGACCAGCAGAGGGCAGTAGCACCTTATTCTGTCTAAATTCCATGAGGGCTTTTAAACAGGAATTGGAAAAAAATGGAGCTCTACAGCCTGACTGGGCTAGAAAGTTGGGTGGAAGAATACTGTGTGTTCTCTCTGTACATATGAGAGATCTCATAAAGCAAATGGATTTTCCCAAGGTCACATAGCAAGATGCGTAGAAGAGAAGGAAATAGAGATAAAGTTTTCCATTATTTTATGTCATTTCTGTACGATACAAAAATTAAGATACTCCACCAAATAAAACTATAATCATCTAGAGAAAGATACAATAATACTGCTCAGGGATTCAGATTCACTATATCCTGTGATAGTAGTTTCAGTCAACAAAGAAAATAACCACCTGTGGAGAAAACTATCTCATGATTCTAATCACTTCTTTGGTTTAAAAAAAAAAGCTTTCCTAAGAGGATTTCTCAAAGTGGTCCATATGCCAGCTTCAAGACCTTTTATTTTACAACACATGAGACTCAATCCATACTGAAGGTCTGAGGGTGATGGTGGTGGTAAGGAATACTGTTGTCAAATGGTATCTTTCTTCCTCTTCAAATCTGTCAACAATATTTACTTTACATTTCATAATTCTGATGATTTTATCCTAAAGAAACGAGTGATATTTTGCCATGTAATTTCATGAGATGTTTAAAAATGTGTTGACTTCCTTCCTTATCTAGGAAAAAAACAGCTCTGAAGGTACTAGATTAAGCAATGCCGTTCATTTTTTCACAGAGCATTCAAAGGAAACCCAGCATGGGACAGGATATGGAGAATAAACTTCATGGGGCTTACCAACCAGCAGACTAGATTAAAATCCAAATAGATGAATACAAATCCTCTCAGATGAGTTGGTCAAGGGAAGGTTAAGATATCAGTATGAGAGGCCAGCCTAAGGCCTGTCTGTATAGATATGTTTGCTCTCCAGGCCCAAGCTCAGAGGGAAACCAGATTCCAGGCGAAAAAGTGCCAGGGAAGATTGAGTCCATAAATACTAATAGTCTTAAATAATAATTAGAATACAAACAGTCACTGTTTAAATTGTTGGGTATTTCTTATCCAGTTCTGGACACTATAATACAAGAGTACCTCACTGCACAATTCAGGGTTGGTGCCAGTCAGTCCTTTTATGATTCTACACTGGCTTAATGAAGCCCACATATTAAGTCACTTTAAGAATTAACTTCTGAATGTATTCTGATGAACTCTGGAAATGCTTAGTCGTGACAGACAAAAGGAAGACAGAAATGGGAAAAATGTGTATCTAAAACCTCTATTTATCAACCCTTAGCCACATCTTAACACATTTGCTTTTGTGCATTATTTTTTTAACAAGAGACATACAACATTAAAGATTTGATTGAAACTCTTTATTCCATTTCTCTCCTATCTGAAAGGTAACAATGATCCTGAATTATTTTTCATTCTCATTTATGTTTTTATACCTGTTTGTATCCATAAAGATACAGGATTACATTGCAGGTTTCATTTTATTCCTTACTAATCTTTTTCAAAATATACAGTTATATTTCATTGATTTATACAATATTTAATTAAACTATATAATTACTTGGGACAAAATATCTGGTTCTTTATATACATACAACTCAGAAGGGACAGACAGCGGCGTACAAGAAATGAGTATTTAGAATATCATGTTCATTTGTGAGTGGAGTTTACAGAAAGGTGAGTAATCAAATAATTAAGAGGATGTAATGTGAGAATCTACTATAGTTTTCCCTTGATACTGAGCAGTGCAAGTAACTTTAAATGCATAATCATACAAACCTCTCCTGGAGTCCTTAGAAGATCCAAACACACAATTTCTACACAAGAAATACATTCATTCGCAGCATTGACCAGTATTCATTTGATGTGCCATTGTCAGTAGTTGGAATGACAGGGTTGAAGTCCTTAAACCATGTATCCTTTTAATGATTCTCTGTATTAAGATGCTTAGCAAATACTGACATACTGAGAGAGAAGATGAATCAATTTCTTTCCTTTGTTGTCCAAAATTTAGTAGAAATCAAATATGGTGTTGTCAAGTCCTTTGCCTGGGTTTAGTATTCCTAAAAACACAAAATAGGATGCAAATCCCTGCTCCTTTTTGGTAAGTTTTGAAACTTTATATAAGCAGGATCATCTTGTGTCTTATTCTGCCACTTGGATTTTTACATGTTATGTTGCTAGACTTATTAAGGTAATAAATAATAATTACTGTAACTAACTTGTACTGGTGGGTTCTCACTATAC